TTAGTCCGATACAGTTTCATGTACAGTTATAGTTCTGTCTCTTATACACATCTAGATGTGTATAAGAGACAGATTTTATCTTTTTATACTTATTTATTTTATTTTTAATACAACATATTTTAATTAGAATTACTTTTTTTATTCTTTGTCCTTAACTGTTCCTATTCTCATTCATATTCCAAGCACCAATCTGCTTAATGGACTGCATGAAATTGTCTATGGGCAGTTGCTGCAGGAGCAGATTTAAAGCATCATTCGGTTATTACTTAGACGCTCCGGTAACCCTTACAAATGCTGCTCTCTGAATGCCATTTAGCTTCCTGATTATATTCGGTTTAGGCCAGAGTATCATTTAGCACGTCCAGTACGCTATATACTCTATCCTAATACGTCTATCATTATTAGTTTTTCAATTCAGTTTGGTACCTACCTCGACACTCAAATACTTTGGTGTGGGGATAGAGAATTTGAGTGAGGGAAGTTTGAATCGAGGTAGTTTATAAGTAAATATCATCAGTTCGGTCTTACTAGGTTTAATATCTAGTTCAGTTTTCGTGGCACACTAATTTTGGAATGAAACAGCCCTGCTACCATTAACATTATGTCATGCGCATAAACTACTACTTTCACTCCACCTCCACCACGATATAAGCGCGGAAAGGACATCCTTGAAACTTGTTCGTGTCATTGTACTATAATAATACCGTTTATAAGCAGCGATTGAATCCATCTGCATAACCATATCGTCTATGCCGCTCTGTGCCAGAGTCTCCACGATGGGGCTTATCTTTATGTTGTTAAAAGCAGCTTCTATGTCCAGAAAGGCAGCCATTGTATATTGCTTGAGGTGTAATGACTTCTCTATTGCATTTACTTCTTCGTGCAGGGCAGTGTCTGTTGATCGACCCTTCTTCTTGAAGTTTGTTGTATCTCCAATTAAACCATTCAATAGTTTATATCTACAATATTTGTATTTTGTAAATTTTTCTTGTTACATAGAAACATTTACTCAATTTTTCTGAAGATTAATAAGAAATTTAGCCTATGTTTAGGACGAAACTGTTCGTACACTTAGTTTTAAAATATATTATTGGCTTTATACATATATGAATGTGTTTCTTAATTTTGTCTAATTTTACAAATTGTGTTTTCTTTATAACAGTATTACCTTTATAAAACATATTTATTTTTGTTGTGTTAGCTTGCGATGTGCTTATTCACCAGCCATATAAATGTACAATAGTATGAGAAAAACAAAAGACTTAAGCTAAGAACTTGTTGCTAAATAATTTGATTTTTTTTTTCTTCACTTTCGTTTCATCCCGTGTCGATTGCTTGCTTGCCGCAACTGTAAACAACTGTAACACCTACAACAAACAATCAACTGCTACTGTCTGCTATCTACCATACAATCAACCAATTCATCGTAAAAACATCATCGTTCTATGAAAATTAATTAAATGCCTTCACGAAAATGAAACATACATGCATTTGAACATTCATCGACGAAAAAAAAATTACAAAAAAAAAAAATTAAAATAAAA